GGGGCTGAGGAGGGCTTTGGGGGGGGTAAGGGGTGGGGGGGGTAGTAGGGCCGTGGGGCCGGTTGGAGCTGGAGGGGGGTGTGTGGGAGGCCTGTGGGGTGCGTGGGGTCGGGTGTGTACAGGAAGGGACTCGGGGCCTGGGCCGGGCCCTGGGTGGGGTGAGCAGATGGGCAAAGCCGCGAGCCGGGGAAGGGCTCTCAGGGCGGTTGGTGCTGTGGGGTGAAGCCGGGGGTGGGACGACGAGGAGACTGAGCAGTCCGGAGGGTGTGTGGGAGCACTTGGGGGGTTATGGGCCGAGGCCAGGGTGGGATGGGCTTTGCAGAGCCCAGCTGGCTCCGTGGGGTGAGCTGGGGTTGGGCTTTTGCTGGGGGAGGTGGGTGTAGGGCTCACCTTTTCCTGGGGAGGAGGCTGTGGGTGTGTGGTGAGGATCCTCCAGGCATGAATGGGGGCCTGGGGGGCTTGAATTCTCTCCTACAAAAGGGTAGCTGGAGGGGGCAGAGGGTCTTGGGGAGGGGGGACTGGTTTACATGAGAAGGGGTGCTGTGATGTGGTGGGGGGAGTGGAGGGGTTGGTGCCAGGGGAAACCTGATTCTCTGGTCCCTTGTATTTCTAGAGCCTGAGCCGTGGGTCAGGTCACCTGCCTTGGGGGTGGCAGTGGGTCCCGGGTCCCTGGACGTGGCTGCTGGCATGCAGATGGGTGGGGGTAGCACAAATATCTTCCTTTAGTCAGGACCTTGCCGGGAAGGGGGGAGGATAGCATCTCTCTGGCAGAGACTCCCTTTTCTCTGCTGCATCTGGTGTTGGGCAAGGCGAAGGTAGCTCATCAAAGCCATTTGGTACCTGTGGGAGGCAAGATATTGTGGGAACGTAAACATCTTCTGGTTAGATTTGTTTTGATGACTAGAATCGGGACCAGTAAGAGTCAAGGGGAAGGTCCTGAAGTCCTCTGACAGCTGAGGGTTTGTCTTGCTCTGCTGATTCAAAATGCAAGCTGAACCAGAAATATGCAGGATTGGAACTGGGCACCGTCCTCATTCCCGCAGAGGGATGGTAACAAGGGGTGGAAACCTTGTCTGGGATAAAACAGGGCACTTTTGGTGCTTAAACCTGTGACTCTGCCTCCTGCCAGTGTTTCACAGGTCTGTCAGCGTTCTTGAGGGAGTCGAGAGCCCTATTCCCTTTTCCACAGGCCCCAAACTAGCTTCTTCATGCTAGTTTGTGGCTAGAAACCAAAATGACTTTCTCAAAACCTTGAAATTTGAATTTGGCAAGATCCAACCATCCTTCTTGAGCTTCTCTAGTAGAGAGTGGCCAGGCTTTTTATTTATTATAATGCAACATGCTGAAGCTTCCTGGTCAGTGTGACCCCACTTGTCACCCAAGCCACAGCAAGGAAAGAAGAAACGCACAGGAAGACTTGCGTCTGAACCTTGTCTTCATTTGGTGTTCTCAGAATGTTGGTGTTTTGCACCTTAAGCCCTACTGCCTGCTACCCCACTTCTCTTGTAGAAGAATTTAGGGCCAGATAGCTGAGCACCGCAGTAAAAGAAATTAATTTAATTATTGCTGCGGCATTGATGAAGTATCATCTAGCAGGGTTGTCCATATGTGCTCAATTTTCTGGCTTCTTAGCTGTGTCTTTTGGGCAGTTTTGAAGATGGACATCCAACATACCTGCTTTATCTTTGTTCACTGTGTGAGCAGGCACAGGGGAAGTTGTACCTGTCTGTCCAATAAAGCCAGTTTCGAGAGGAAGAAGAGAGTGCTTGGGTCTTTATTGGCTGTGGCAGCTGAGGTGCCTCAGCACAGGGCTGAGTGTCCAGGGGCAAGACCGCTGGGTCTTTTTCTATTGCTTTGGGGCTTCCTTTGAGATCGTGATATTCTCCCATGCTTGCTTATCTTCTGAGCTGAGAAGGAGGAGCCAGCTTCAGAAAGCTTGAAGGGTTTCGAGAACATTACTTAAGAGAAAATATGCAAGTATACAAGCAAATCTCTTCTCCCTTCCTGGTAGAATAATTGCCATTGTTTGCTTCTCTAGCTAGCGAGGTGTTGGCTAACGTGCATTTCCCACAGGATTTGAATTCTAGTTGTGACAGAGCCTCCGCTGTGTGACATGTGCGATACATGACGCATGTTCATCTCGGCTGATCCCTGATGGTGCAGGCTTTAAACCTCGGATTTCAGCCCCACCTCCAGGAGACTTGGGGCCTCTCTGGGTGGTCGCCTTCTGCCCCGGGCAGTGTTCAGGCTTTGGGTGGGACCTGGTTCCTCTGCTTCTTCTGGAAGGAACAGGTAGAACCAGGGACGATGAGAGCCATGAGCTGAGGAGAGCGATCCTGAAATGGGTGCTGGAAGGGCTCAGATGCTGGAGGAGTAGCTCTGCAGAAGGCAGGGGACAAAAGGAGGCTGGTTGTTATTTTGGATGCAAGGTTTTGCTTTGCTCCATGGTAAACCTTAAACTATCTGAAGCCCTGCCATGGCTTTTTGGGGCACTGTCACCCTCAGTGGCCCATGGTGCAGTTTGCCCTGGGGGACTATTACTCTATTACTGGCATCATCCAGTGTAGATAAAGGGGATGTGGATAATTTTGAAACCCTTCCCAGACCAGGCAGGCAGCGGTTCTCCCTCTCCCTGCCTCAACGTGTATTTAACTCTCTGGGGAAACACCCAAAGAGGTTTTCTCATTTTGCTGCTTTCGCTTTGAAGCAGCATGTGCCAAAAAATGCTAATGTGGGATTTCAGTTGTTTGGCCCTTTGTGCCTTGGGTGCCGTGGCTGCTTTATAATTATGGGTCCGAGTGAGTTGAGAGTTCATTGTCACCCTGGCTTCAGGCTCCTCCTTGGAGTCCACAGACAAAAGAATTGCTCTCAAAATGGCTCAGTCATTTCTGGGGACAGGGAAATCATCCCGACACATCTGAAGCGAGCTGAGAGCAGGATCCCAAACTGCTGAGCCCTTAATGTAGGTGTAAAACCTACAGAAAGACTCGCCCTCAACCCTTGCCCTCAAATTCCTGCAAGAGGGGCAAAGCTTTCTTGATCCCACCTTGCCGAGACCAAGCATACAGGAGGGAAGATGAGTTTATTAAATAGAAACATCTGAATGGCTCATCATCCTCAAGCTTAAAATAGGACCGTCAAATGACTCCAAGTCCTGTCTCTGTTATAAAAATCTCTCTTCTTCCCAACCATCAGCTGTGAAATCTCTCTGGGTGTCGCAGGTTAGTATCGTCAGCTGGGTCCTGTCGCCCAAACTCTCGCCGTCCCTTTTGGTGCCGTGGGAGTTGTGCTGGTGATGCCCACCCTGGTGTGGGGCAAAGCTCCTTTAAGATGGAGGCAAAAGATTACTGTCCAAAGAACAAAAGTAGGAGCCAGCTTGTCTAAATAAATGAGAGATTCGTCTGTTGGAGGGAAGCTCGTCTGGCAAAGCAGTAGCTAGAAAGTGAGTGAGGATTGTGTGGTTTTGGGGGGGGCACCGAATACCTGGATTACATTTCCTGAATTATAACTGAATTTCCCTTTGGAAAGTAAAAGCCGCTCCTCCCTCCCTCCAGCATGTATTGTTGAAAGGGGCTGCTTGGTGTTTTATTTCTCCTCCCCACCACCCCTGTTAGCCCTGCAGGGTTGAAAAGCCTTTTTTTTTTTTTGAGATGGAGGTGAATTAATGCTGCCTGCGCTGCTTCCCTCTGGTCACCCAGAGCTTCCTTCTCCAGGATCAGGGCTTCGTTTTCCCCCAAACAAGGTATCGTACTTGTTCTTGTCCTTTCTTGATTACTATGTAATAGCGGTGATTAAATATATTATCTCACCGCATCCCTGTAGACTCTGCCATGTTTAAAAAGCAGAGCGCTCGCAGGGCAGAAAGATACCTTACATCTGACCTATATCTTACTCTTCTGGGAAAGGATTGTTTATCTTTCCCCCCCCAAATTAAGAAGGTGGCGCAGCAGGCAGGATGCTAATTCTGGTTTCCCTGTCGCCAGCTCCCTCTGGGGTCGGTTTTGAGCAAGTCCCGCAATCGCTCAGCTGGAATAGGGGCTGTTGACACACTCCCTTCCCGGTGCTTGGTGATGTTTGCAGAGCAGCCTGGAAAAGGAATGCTTGGAGCATTTATCGTTAGGATTCATATCCCCGAAGTAGCTCCCGATAGCCATAAAGCTGGACTTAAAATTCATCGACACTCTGGAAAGGCCGGTGCCCTTGTGTTTCTTGAATAGGTGTTGCTGTCTGGGAGCAGGGATTGGCTTAAATTTTAAATCACTGTTTTGGTGGAAAGCAGGAGTAATGCAGAGCTGTAAAATTGATGGTCTTTGGCGAACAGCAGGATTAATTTTCAAATGGCAGAACCTTGTGCAAAGCTAATGTGCCAGAAGACACTGCTGTAGGGAAGGAGGATCTCCCCAGCTTTTCTACAGGTTGCAGGTGCAGGAGTTGCCATCAAATATTCCAGAAAGTGGTCTTGTCCAAAATGCCTTCAGCAAAAATCAGTCTGCCCCCTCTTCTTCTGGGAAACTTGAGGTAACCTCATTCCTCTTATCCCTGAGATGTTATTGCTTTTCCGTATGGTTCACAGTAAAACTAGGAATACTCGCTGGCCGGCGTCTCGCCCGGCTGCGTTAGCACTTGCTCATATGTGCCTCATTTCTAGCCCCTTCCCTGAAGCCGAAGGTAGTTTTGCTGAACTTGCTCGCTGTTTCTTTTAATTGTGATTTTTGCAGTTCCATGGTGCTCTTTGACTTGCAAGCAGCTCGATAACGAGGACCAAAAAGTTTGCGTGTCTGCTCTAACTCAGAGTTGGTATTTCTCAGGGAGCAGGAGGGCAGGTCTCTGGCCAAAGGGCTCGTCTCAGGAGAGGGATGGTGGGGGAAGAAATATGGCCGGGAGTCAGGAGCAGATGCTAGAAACTTCTCGCTTGCTGTCATCTTGTCTTCAGAGTTTCCACCCTTTAGTCCTGCCATCTGCCTACTGGTCCGTGGGCTGTCTCCATTCTCTGCTGCTGAAGACATCATGCATCTGAGTCTCATTTATTTGCCTTGAAGGGTTTTTATTTATTTCAAATGTTTTTCAGTGGAGAGAGTAACTCATTGTCCATCAAGATGGATTTGTGTTTCCATGCACATTTAGAAAGGGTTTTGTTTGTCAGTGGTCTTGTGACCACTGATCTTTGGTTGAGGTCTGCTGTGCTGATAAGACAGAAAGGAAAGCAGGTTTCTTCCCAGCCCTGGTGAGTTGTGTTGGTTTTGGATTGGCATGCCCAAATAATTAGTTGCTGTGAAGCACATCTTTTTGTGGAATTGCTGGGATAAGCCCCAAATGGTGGATCCAGGGTTTCAGTGAGGTCAGCTCTTGTCTGCTGATGTGAGCACTATCCTGTGCTCACCCACTTCCAGGTGATAGAGGTGGAAACCCAAACCCCATCCTCTTTGGTATGTTCTCTTCTCACCTTTGATGAGCACCTCTTCTGCTCACCTCTGCAGAAGGCAGAGGAGTTGCTTGTTTTTGTTGTTGGTTTTATTTTATTTTTTTTAAATAGATTTCTAGATGTCATGCCTGGCCTCAGCTCTCTTCTGGGTAGTTAGAAAATGCTGTTAACCTTGTGCGTGGAAACCTGTTCTTAATTCTGCCCTGGCCTCTTGGATTAAAAAATTGCTTGATTTCTCCATGGCTAGGTGTGCTGACCTCCTCAAAAAGCACTTGGCAGTTTGCTGGTGAAGAGAGATTGAGGAAGGGTTTACTGTTTCTGCAAAGCAGCGAGAAGTGACTAGATAACGTTACAGAGATTGACTCTCCTCTATCTTTCCCTGGGCCTTTTCCCGACACGTCAGCAGTATCCAGTGACTTTCAGGAGTGTCCTGTCCTGTGCCTCCATCAACAGGCTTGTGAAAGAAGTGTAGGGGAGAGAGAGGAAGATGCGCTAATCCAGCGCAGTAAAATCAGTCATGCATACATCAGCTGCTGACTGCTAATGGTGATGGGAAAGATAACCCCCAAACAGAAATCTACAGTGTGCAAGAGCTCTTTATCTAGAAACTGAATTCACGAGCTCTCTTATGGCAGCTTTGATGCCATTGGTTTAATGTCCTTAACATAATTTATCGGAACAAATCTATCGATGCAGAGAATTTCAAAATTATTACTCACTGCTTGGCCTTCTGGCCAAGATCAAGTGTTTGTAAGTGTTTTATCTTCCTCTGGAGGGCCGTGTTCTGTGCTGGCAGGGGTGGGCTGTGTGATCTCATAGGTTTTCTTCCATCTCCAGCTGCTGTGATTAAGAGCGTTGGCTTTGACTCCTAGTTCAGGCCAGACTTCTGCATTTTTCCATAAGAGCTTCCTGAGAGAAGTAAATGAAATACTCAGGCTCTTATCTTCCAGAGCTGTGGAAGAGGTTTTTATTGTGCACAACTAAGGTGCTTTGCTCAGAAGTGTTTTGCTTGCAAAGTCTGGACCTTTGTTTTCTTAACTAGTGGAAATAGGATTTCTTTTTGTGTTTCTTTAACTTTCTTGGGGAAAATATCTCTTGTTTCTTCAAGTAGCTGAAGTATCAGTTCACCACCACGACTGTATAACCTTTTTGTTTTTCCTCGTATAGATTTCAGCTTTTTGTGCTGCTCGGTGATGTCATTTCGAAGAGGTAGATGTATTGCATATATGTACTTAAAAAAAGCATGGTTTCTTCCTCTCTGGTAACCAGCAGCAAAATGCTGTATTACGTAACTGTCTTGGCTTTTGAGGACTGACAAAACTTGGTGGGTGTTTTTTCCCCTAAATAAACTGCTACTGCTCTCAACAAAAGCTGCTATTTTATTGAAGTGTGTTGCATAAGCGCTCTCCTGACATCTAAACAGCTCTCCGCATCCCTGTGTGCACCAGCAGGATTGTTCCAGTGGGGCTTTTCTGCTTTGGTTTCTGCCTGGTTTGCACTTTGAAGAAAAGAAATCTCGCTGCTATTCCCATTTGCAGCCATTGGCCTTGGATTGGGGGGGACAACTCATCCCAACAGACTTTTTGAGGGGGGATTTGCAGGCAGAGAAAAAAAAAAAAAGTGTTGGGGGATTTCTGTGCAGACAGCGCCTTGGATGTGTCCATGGAGGCTCCAACATACTACACGTCTTCCAGGTAGTGTTTGGTAGGTCTAAGGCTTGGGCTTGTGAGCGACTTCTGCATGTGCAGAAGTGCTCTTGTTGATGGTGCCACCACCTGCAGGCAGAGTCCAGGTGAGGAGGGAGAACATTCCCATTTTTGAGCATTAAGAGGGCCTGTTTGGGAAAAAAACAGCTGCCTCTCTTGTCCTGGCCACTTGTTTGGCCGAGATAAACCCTGCAGTCAGCAGCAGGAGTGGGGAGGAAGGGCAGCACATGCCAGTGTGATGTGTCCTGGCGCTCGGCTTGCCCTGCTCAGGCGCTGGGGAGTTGAGCTTGACGATGTGTTTTGCTGTGCTAATGTTTTCACTTTTTATTTTTGTCTAAAACATGAGGCACAGCTAAAATCTGTCTGAGCAGCTCTATTTAAAAATAGAGTGAAGCGAGTATTTGTCCTGGCTATACCAAATTAGCATGCTCATTTGCTAGACAAGTGAGCATCTGGCCCAAATGCCTTGTTACAGACTCCTTCCAGTGAAATATTTGTCTGAACCATTTGGCCAGGTGCCATCACCACAACTTTTTAGTTTTTTTTTTTTCCCTAGCCTTTATGTCATGGTTGGTAAGAGTATACTACTATCTGTTGCTGGCTGAAAATAATCCTGGACAGCTAGGGCTGGCGGAAGGCAGACAGCTATTTATTTAGGTTGATTCAGCTTCCAGTAAACAGCTCTGAGGAATGCTCTGAAATCACCCATAGGGATTGCTCACAGAATCACGAAAGAAAGAAAAAAGGAAACATTTTGGGACATCATGAATTCATTTTCGGACAGGACTGATCTGTTTCCTTTGGCCAGAATTAATTGTTTAGGTGTCTCAAGCCATTTTTTCGGTTGTCAGTCTGGGTCAGAATGATGACTGATGAATTCTTTCATTTTAAAGAGGCATTTAAATAGATCCAGAAATAGCAGCTTTTTAAAAATAATTTCATTTTGTTACGTTTATGCCATGGAATTTAACACCTTCAGTTCACCAAGCAGTGTGTGTGTGGGGTGACACAAAACTGCCTTTACATAGCAATAAAAAGAGGTGGAGATAACTGAAACGTTTTAATATGGAAAATTCTGAGTTTTGTTCTCTGACCTCAGCTAGTAACACTTTTGATAATCAAGAGAGCTTGTTTTTGCAGGAGGACACACAATAGACCCATACGTAGCTTCAGTTGGAGCCGAGCAGACCTCATCTGTTCATCCTTGCGCTTGGGCGTGAATAGGCGTTTTTTATCACAGTCAAACAGGAATTACCTATTTCCCAGTCAGCAACAAACTCGTTTGGAAACTAGCGGGAGGGATGGGGAGCTTCCTGCTGCGGAAACTGGGTGTGCTGGGAGCTGAGTGATGCTGTGGCCGCACCAATGCTCTGACCACAGGCTGCAGCTTTCCCTTGTTGACTCACCCTTTCTTTGTAACCAGCCTGATTGGGAGGATCATTGTTGTTGCTTCTCAAATCGCTATGTGAAAGGACAAACTGAGGCACTGTGGTCTTGGGGCAGTGGGGGAAGAGAATAAGGTGAAGCTGATGCTCTGGTCTGTGCTGGGATGCTGTACGTCTTCCTTAAAATCACAGTGACACCTCTAAGATAAGGATACCCCATGGTATTGCAGGGGACAAACTAGACGTGCTTTGGGATGCTAGCTCTTCCAACCAAGTCTCATTGCATATTCTCGCTTTTAATGTGTGTTGTGTGTGATTAAAGCAGCAGAGAGAAGATCTGCTGCTGGGTCCTCTGGCGAAAGAGCTTTAGTTAAATCCTAGTGGAACACAGTTTTGCACGGATGATTAAATACTAACACAGTGAATCTCCAAGGTGATGAGGCTGGCGGTGCTGCTTCAGATTTGCTTAAATCATGGGGCTTTTAGATGTTTTAATCTACGTAATTACAGATACTTGCTTTAAAAAAAGGCTTAATTGCAATTGAACAGGTGTTATACTGTGATGCCCGGGATGTTTCCTCCATCCCTGTGTCCTGCTGGATCTTGGCAGGTTCAAAAGCCTTTTGATGAAGTGATGGAGTTGAGCTTTATTGGTTTTGTTGTAACACACTAAGTCACAGGAGATTCCTTCTAGTTGGAGATGCTCCCAAACCTGGGCTGGTGGGGAGAAGAAGAGGGAAGGTATGTGAGAGGGTCTTTTCTTAAAGGTCTTTTCCAACCTAAATGATTCTGAGAGGTGAAGTGGGGCAGCTGCTCCAAAGAGCCCCGAGTGTGCTGGGGGAGGAGGAAGACAGCCAGCTGTGAGAAACTTCAAATGCAAAAATTAGAGCTTGTTGGGACAAACTTTCTTGTCTTTAAAGGGAGATGAGAGGGGGTGGGAAGGCAGTTGGAGCCAGTCGTTCTGTGCTTGCTTTGTTTAGTGAAAAGCGTTTGTCACAGATTTTTTTCTTGTTTGCTTGTTTAATATGTATTGAAATGAGAACTTTGATCACTCGATTAGGAGATCAGAAGGCTGCTGGATTTTGCTGTTAAGTACCTCTGTTCCTTCTGCTGAAATGCAGTTTTTGTAGAGCTGTAGTGCTTGATGAAATCACAGTGTGAGTCTTTACACCGCCTGTAACAGGCGAGCAGAAGGGGCTTCTCTGCTGGGCGAGCGGCGGGTGGACCCAGAACTGCTGCAAGGATTGTATGTTGTAATGCTTAATCTGCTAAAACAATTACTGGATGTTGGGGGAAGCAACCCTGTGCTTACTCCCTGGTACGATGGGGGTGTTGCTTTTGGGTGGGGGCAGTTTTATAAGGCTGTGGTCATGGCTCCTGTGTAAAAAAGAAAAAATCAGTTGCTGTGTCTGAAGCAGAAAGAAAAACAAAATGAAAGAGCTTGTCTGCTTTTCTGGGCTGGAGGCAGAAAGCACATCACTGTTTTATGCATCTGCCTGGCAGGGGCAGTGTCCCTGTCCTGGGAGCTCTTGGCCTCACCGGTGTTGGGCTCGATCTGGCTGGTGCCTTTGTGGTGTAGACAGACATCGCAGAGGGGCAGTGTCATCCAATTGCCTTTTTTTCCCTTGCTGCATCCAAAAAAACCCCAAGATGGGAATCCAGACCTAAAAGGTAAAAGTTAGTACATCACCTTGCAGATAATTTAACTCCATGGTGGTTATGAAAATCCATAGGCTTGGCTTCAAGCGGAAGGGTTGGTGTTCTGGGCCTTTTAATAAAAGGTCCTGGAAATAATTTTAAGATAAAGCGTGGTCAGCGCATCTACTGAAACACTGCAGAGCATTTGGCCCTCCCAGTTCTAATTAATAGATGGCAATAATCCTGCAAAGCCATACAAGTCCATCAAAGGCAGGGAAGTTGCTGATACCACCTCTGAAGGTGGTCCTGCGTGTTTGTGCCCAGCCAGAGGAGTGCTGGAAGCCAGCTGAGCGGGGCAGAGCAGACCCTAGCTGGTAACACTGACACAAAACTGAGTTTGGCTGGCAAGTGGTAAGCAGAATAGCATTTCCTTGTGGCTTGACAAAAATCCCCTCTGCTGTAAGAGGAGAAGGTAGGAAGAAATCAGCCGTGAGTCAGTGCTTTTTCAGGTGCCTTAATATTCGTTTGAACCAAGGTGGTGTGTCAGGCTTTTTTGTGATGCATAATCATGATTAACCCTTTCTGAGTGTGGCTTTATTCTTTTGACAGGATCATCTACTTTCAAAAAATCACTCACCCCTGAGGTAAGTTTCTGACCGACAAGCTGGTTTTTTCCCTGGCTGAGAGAATTAATAATTTCAGACTTGCCTGCTATTTTTCCAATCTCATTCAAGTTAGGGGTAAACCAGGCAGCGGTAAGTACAGTAAGCTGCAGGTTCTCATTTGGGAAATTGGAGCATTTCTCCTTACCAAGGGGATCTCTGCTTAAAAATCCAGCTTGTCCTGGAACTGAACAATTCTTGTGCCACCAAAACACCATAGATCTCCTGCCGCGAGCAAGATGTTCAACTCGTTTTGACTGAGAAACACCATTTAACAACTGCATGTGTTAGAAGATGATGAGTCAAGCGAGCTCCTGTGGCATGAATCAGAGTAGAATTTGCCACCTTCCTAAAATGTCTCCTTAAAGATTCGGCCTTACTGGCAGAACGCACGGTGACCAGCTGCAGTTGGTCCAGACTTGCTTAGAGCTAATCTCTTTGTGATGATGGTGATTAGGAAAAACCCAAACTCTTCCAGGTGGTCTTGCATGAAGGTGTTTCTAATTAGATGTCCAGCCTCAATCACACAGGAGTCAGTTGGTTCTTTGAAGGCATTTCAATGCTGTTGCTGTCCTAGAGGCCAGCTTGTACCACGTTCTCATTTTGCGCGCATGCAGGGGTTTGGGGCTTCACCAGGGTGCGCTTCACAGGCTCCATCTTTGAGAATAGCAAAATTATGCCAGGTGGTTCTTGGTAGCTACTGGCCTCTAAGACATTGGGTTTTACATCCTTGGTTCTTGTATCTTTTACTCCGATCCCAGATGCCAGGTGGTTCTGGGCAGCCAGGCTCACAGACGATAAAGAAAGGGCACAGAGGAGTGGACTCCACAGGCGAGACCACCTATAAAAAGGTAAGTTGCCTCTTGCACAACTCATTTGACTGTTATTCTCCTCTTTGCAATGCAAGTGCCTTCCAGAGCAGCAGCGTGTCTCACAAGGTTTGATGTTAGACAGTGAGTAATGTCTGTGACAGTTGCTGAAGGAGATCTCAAAGGAAGGGAGCCAAAGAACTGAATATGTGCTTCCTAGCTTCTCTTGTAGCCTTCTAAAAAGGGCACTCTTTTTAGACTTTGCCCATTAGCAACACTTCCTAGGCCTCTTCTAGCTTATTGGGTGCTTTCTGTGCTCTTTGGGCACAATAGTTTCTATAGATCTTGTGGCATTACTGGAATTTGCTTTACAAAGGGGAGATTGTTTGGGTATTTTTAAAAAGCCTGTAAATGTGGGTATTTTGTGGATGCTGCTTCCTGTTTGTTGGACTTCATCAGATTGGGCCGACTTTCTCTGAAGCAAGGTTGACTTCTAGAATGTAGATTAAATGGGTAGTGGCTTGATATGGGCATTTTACCACTTAGTGTAAGTGAAGCTTCTGGTCCGAAATCTCTAATCCATCTGTCTGTCGGGAGTCGGAGTTGAAGGAAGGAATTCAAATGGTGTTTCTACAGAAGCCAGCTTTTGTTATACTGCCCTTTTTGAAACTGCTTGTGTCTTCAAGATTGGGATCTGGCTTTCAGTTTCCCAGCAAATTCGGAGGTAGAAGTGTAGACAGCAGTAACAGAAGAGAGAAGTAGGAGCCAATGTCCCTTGCAAGGGTCCCAGAAACCTGGTGGGGCACTGCAAGGGATTTATCTGGGAATGATACTAATTGACAATCTGTCTGTTTTCCATCCCCTCCTTTTCCAGGGGTGGTAAGTTGTTGTTTAAAATTCTTGGCCCTATAAAAGTGATTGTAAACAGGCAGTCAGCTGCTCAGCTGATTGTGCTGGCTAATAGAAGAGAAAAATACTTGTTCCTTGGCAACCTGGCCCTGTGGCTCTGTGTTCACAAACAAGGCAGCATTGCTGTGCTGTGTTGGTAAGTTCTGTTTCTCAACAGTGAGACTGTCCTGGAAGTTTTAAGCACTGCTAGGTGAGCTGAGCTGTTTTCAAGCAGCTTTAGCCTTTAGAGGGTAAGGAAGGAAAGCGGAGTCAAGTTCTTCCTCCTTCCCCATCTAATACTGAAGTAAATGTCAGATACAAACAGGTAGCTAAGTAGAAAAGGACACTGTCGACAAGCTGGAGTTACTGCCAGTTTTTGTTGCTCTCACTTCAGGGAACTGTGAGCAGGTCTCTTGCAGCTATAACAGAAAACCAGTTAACTGGGAGAAATGTTCCCATTTGTTTTACAAGGCTTCATGGAGGATGTGTGCCTGGGGAAAAAACCTGAATGCTTGTCCCCCAGATACTGTGGTGTCCTCTGTTGCCAAATGCTTTGATCTACAGTGATTTCTTGCATGTAGCAGGGGGCTGGGCTTTGTTTAGCTTAAGGAAACAAACACAAACTAGTTGGATCATGAGCCCTGGATCTTGTTTTGGGTCCAGTTGCTTTATGTATAAGCCAAGTGAAATGTCCATGAGCTGCAGTGCACAAATCCAACCTGCACCTGCTCTGCAGCCTCAACATTTCCAGCAGGCTTTACAGCAGAGTTCATATCTGCATGCTCCGGGAACTGACAGGCCATGTAACATTGGGGTGTTGAGCGGATCTCATCTGGGCTGTTCTGGGAAAGACAGCCCATAGCACGAGCTAGGCTGAAGCACGTCCGAGTGGTCTGAGATGAGATCATGTGTTTCATAGACAGAAGAGGACTCTTGATGTTACAAGAACACAGTCCTACATTGTTCTTGGGCAGTTTGTGCAGAGGCTGCAGGAGCGGGAGTTCTGTCTTTGCTCCTTATTTAAAAATGACAGTGAACTCCTTAGGGTTAAAGAGCCATGACCTAGCAAGAGAGGCAGACAGAGGAATGTGGTAGCACCAAACAGAAGCATGTGTTGTGTGCTGGCCATGCCTGCCTTGTCCTGTAGAAGACCTGAGTTTGTGCCCAAGCTCGGGAAGAGCAAGCTTCAAAATGTATAGTTCCAAAACCAAGATGTCAAGAAGTGTGTTTTATTCCTAGGGGCACAAGGTAATCTGTCCCTGGGTGTCTTCCCCTCTGACTGCAGTGTGTAGAGATGAGTGCTGTGGGAGGATGAAATGAAATTCAGTCCTTTTAAGGACCAGCTGGATGTTGATTCCAGCTCAAGTCTTTTACTGCTAGACCACCCAGAGTGCAAGGATCAAGCAGGATGCTATCAGAGATGTAGGGGTGTTCCCAGGTGTTCTCATCGCCAAAGTGCTATTAGTCAATGAGAAAGAAATGATGGAAGCTGAAACCAGTAGGTGTAAAATACCCTGGGTAACAGTGCTGTTTTAAACTGGGGGCTCTCTTTTCTTTAACTCCTTTCATTCCTATTTCTAGCCTGCTGCTCCACATGTCTAACTCACTTTCTCTGCCCCTCCAGACAACATCATCTGCCTTGAAAGGTGCCATTCAGCTGGGCATTACACACACAGTTGGAAGCTTGAGCACCAAGCCTGAAAGAGACGTTCTCATGCAAGATTTCTATGTAGTAGAAAGTATTTTCTTCCCAAGGTTAGTGCTTGCTTTCTTCTCTCTCTGGTGCTTTGATAGTGGGTAGCAGCATTAGTTCCTAATGCTGCTTGCACATGAGGAAGCTGCACCAAACCAGGACAGTTGTCTGCAGGAGCGAGCATAGGTCTCCTGAGCAGACCTACTCAGTGCACTGCTTATGGACCAACTCTGGCTCCTGCCTGCCACCTGTTTCTGAAGAACTCTGGCTTTTTCCTATATGTGTCCACCATCGGTTGTGTGAACAAATGCAATTTTGCTGTTGTGTGTGCCTACACGTGTTCCTTTTGGGTGGGTGCTTTCTAGCCCTTGAGTGTGTTAGAAGCAGCCAGCCAGTGGGTGTTTGCTTTTAGGGCAGTTTCTTAAGGAATGTTTCAAATACAAATACTTATGTGTGCTTCTCTCCTTGATCAGTGAAGGGAGTAACCTGACCCCAGCTCATCACTACAATGACTTTCGGTTCAAAACCTATGCTCCAGTGGCCTTTCGCTATTTCCGGGAGCTCTTTGGGATCCGACCAGATGACTATCTGGTAAGTTGGTGGTTGGACCAGGTTCCCATTTGTTGCATGCTCTGTGTGACGGGTGTTTGTCATCTTGCCCCTCTCGGAGCTATGGAGTGCTGCGAGGCCCAGAGGCAAGCTCTGTAAGCACAGCAGTGGATGCTGTATGTGACCCTGGCGTTTGACTCTGTTAATGCTTAAAAGGAAGAGCCTTTGTGCTGAAGTTTCCTGTTGATGTCTCTCTCACCTCTGCATTTCTTACCTTGTCCTCCTCAGTACTCGCTCTGCAATGAGCCACTCATTGAACTTTCAAACTCTGGGGCCAGTGGATCCCTCTTCTATGTATCCAGTGATGATGAGTTTATCATCAAAACGGTTCAGCACAAAGAGGCTGAGTTCTTACAGAAGCTGCTGCCTGGCTACTACATGGTGAGTCACTTGGGTGAGGCTTCCTCTGTGAGCTAGGGAAGAGTCCCCCAAATGTACAAGTGTGACATATTGCTGTCTGCTGCCTGGTAGATATGAGTGAAGGTTTGATCTGTGCCCCAGCTGAGTGGCAGCTTCTCTCTCAACTGTCCAGTGACAGTCACGGACTACACAAGCTACCTGGGTATCACAAGCCTGGAGTGCTGCGCAGGGGTCCTGGGTTGCACTTTGTGACTCGGACCCTTTTGGAAAGTTGCAGCCTGCTTTGTGACCAGCTGTGAACTGTTTGCTTCCATGCTGCGCAGCATCAGGCCCATGGTACTTTGTCTTGCAAAGCTGTTCTTGTGTTTCCCTTCCCAGGGGTATGCTTGTTTCTGTCTGCAAAGATGAAGAGTTGAACTCTGATTTTAAGTTTCTATATATAGAAGCAGCAGCAGCAGCTTTGAGAGTAAAGGTGTGTTAATTTTATGAAAGTGGCTATAGCAAAAAAGGCTTTATTGGTTCTGGAGCAAAATCAGATCCTACCCTGAACACAATGTGTGTGTGATCTGACTGCTCGTGTTTGTGTCTAGCCTGGGCTTTACAAGCCTCGTCTGTGTAAGGGAATTTAGCCGTGAGATAGTCTTGCCATGTAGAAGTGCCTTAGGACTCTTGATGCTGCCACAAGAGTTTAGACCCATCTCTATCCTGATGTATTTAGCTTGACCTAAGTGCCAAATTTAAAAAGGCTAAGCACAAGATCTTCCTCTGCTCTGAAGCCTCCCCAGCTTAGCTTCTGAGTGAATGAGCAGCAAACTCCTTCCTTCCTACCATCTTTCTCTCACCCATTCAGCTTTGCAGAGAGATCGTGAACAACTGCAGGCATTGCCCATCTGTTCCCTGTGTTCACCTGCCCTTGTCTCTTAGCTTCTTTGGCAATGGCTTTGAATCATTGCCAGCCCCATTTCAAAAGAGAAGCACAGGAAGGAGCAAATAACTCCTCTGACTGGCATGTGAATAACCAGAATGGCATTGAAGGTATTTCTTTGTCTTTGGCATTTCAGAATTTGAACCAGAACCCAAGGACACTGCTGCCAAAGTTTTATGGCTTGTACTGTGTCCAGGCTGGAGGCAAAAACATTCGCATTGTTGTGATGAACAATCTACTGCCGCGCTCTGTCAAAATGCACCTGAAATACGACCTGAAGGGCTCCACCTACAAACGCCGAGCATCCCAGAAGGAGCGGGAGAAGGTCTTCCCAACGTACAAGGACTTGGATTTTATGCAGGACATCCCTGATGGCCTCTTCTTGGACTCTGACATGTATAATGCTCTGTGCAAAACATTACAGAGAGACTGTTTGGTAAGTGTAAGGGTGAAGGGTGGTGTGGAGAGTTCTTTCCTTTTTTCTGAGTCTTTCCCACAAAAAGGAGATGGCAGCTGCCACCCTTGTAGCCTCTGCCAGTTAACTTAGAGAGCCCATTTTTTTGGTGGTGATGTGAACAAGAAGCAGGACCTGGACCCCAGTTTCGTTCAATGCTTCCAACCTGAATTAAATCCAGCACTACCTCTAGAGGTGGAGGAAGCACCCTCTGCCAAGGTTGAGCTCTGGAGCAGGGCAGGAGCTAGAGAGAGGGGCAGGAGTCTGGTCTCAAAGTTGGGCGGCTGTGCAAAAGTCAGTGTTCTCCCCTGGCTTGGGTCCTCGTCCGCACAGGAGTACCACTGATGGCTTTCCTCTAACTCCCTTTGGTGACTGTAGATGAGCTGACTCTGCACGAGCTGTGGATTAAAAGCCATCCCCTCAATATGCTCGGGGCTCTAGGCAAAAATGCTGACTACGTTTCTGAAAATGTCTGCTCTGACAGTTTCACTGGGCTTGCAATAATGAGTGAGCCTTTGTTGACTTTCTACCCAGGTCCTGCAGAGCTTTAAAATCATGGATTACAGTTTGCTTGTTGCAATCCATAACATTGATCTGGCACAAAGAGAGCACGCAATGGCAGACGGGACATCCCAGACTGATACACGGCGACCTGCTGCCCAGAAAGCCCTCTACTCGACAGCCATGGAATCCATCCAAGGAGAGGCCCGGCGAGGTGGCACCATAGAAACAGATGACCAGTAAGTCTGTGTCGGTGTTGCTCTTCCCAGTGAAATGCTGAGGAGCGAGGGGTAAAACCCAAGCCTCGCTAATGGAGACTTAATTTAGATGCAGGCTGGGCTATACAGGATTGCTGTCATGCTGGGCAGAGAGGTGTTGGTATCAAATCTTGTGCTTTTATCTTTGATTTCTCCTCCTTAATGTACAAAAGATTTTTCTCGCCTTCCAGGTGGCCTTTAAGAGTTCTCTGCCCACCAGTTACTGGCAGTTTCAACTACTTACTTCCATACACCTCTAAGAGGCATAGCAAGAGCTTTGTTAGATCAGACTAACAGCCCATAAAGTCCAGCTGCCATCTTAGTATGAATGGTAGTAGATGCTCTCTACAGTTGCTTGGTCTCTTCTCATGCTTGAGTTGGGGTTAATCCTCATCTTCAATAAAATTGTCATACAGAGGGAAAAAGGGGTCAATTCTCAGGAGGTTTAGCTAATTTACTGAAAAAGCATTTTGCTCTGACTTCTCTTCCCTAATTTGTTCGCTGAACAGTAGGTCCTTCCCACATGTTGACACTTGTTAAATAGTTCACATAATATTCAGCCCACGCTAGGCTGCATGAGAGAGGCAGTGGGGTGTGAGAACACCCTGTTTCATGTCTGTGTCCTGTCCTCTTCTAGGATGGGAGGCATTCCAGCCCGCAACGCAAAGGGGGAGAGGCTGCTGCTGTACATCGGCATCATTGATGTGTTGCAGTCCTACAGGTAAGAAACAATAACAGCTGTGTATCACCTAAGGGTGAAGACCACTTTACAGCATTGTCTGCCCCTGTTTGGTTGTCCAGATTGGCTTTCAAGAAATAGTTAAGACACAAACATTTCTTTCTTTTTGTTTAATTTACCACTTTCTATTTTCTTGAAGTTGGGCATTTGGGGATCAATTTCTGGGTCTTGCTTACTGTATTTACTTCATGTTCCTGGAATAGATTTACTCTTACAAAGTGTTTTTTTCTATGCTGTGGTGGTTGTACACAGGCACTGTGCAGGAAGTGGCAACAAAAAAACAAGTGGTGGCTTAAAATGGCCATAACCACTTCTCCCTATAAAATGAAAAATAGCTGTAAGGCTTACCTTTTCTTATATTTATGTTAAAATGCAATGTGCAGAGGGTTACATGTGTAAAGTCTCTGTTAAATGTCATTGCAAGTTAACTGCCCTTGATAATTATGCCTGTGAAACTCTCCCCTTGGGAGAGTGAACTGTGCAGTCAGCCCTGGTGTCTGTGGAACAGTCTTAGAAAAGTGGGACAATGAAGAGAATCCAAAGCAGTCCGTGTCTGGGGTGTGCTTGCCACTGTGGTCAGAAGCTGGGCTCAGTACTGAGCATGATATGATACGGACACTGGGGACTTGGTGTGAAAATAGTCCTTGATTCTTTCGTTTGTCAGATTTGTCAAGAAGCTGGAGCACTCTTGGAAGGCCCTGGTACATGATGGGGTAAGTAGAAAATATCCCTTTTTAACTTGTTTAGCAGTAATACCAGCATCTTTTTAAACTGTGCCTGCTGTCCTTGCTCCTTCTGGGCATCCTGGATATATAAGGTGTGTGTGTGTTTGCCCTCTTATATAGAAGTATTACTTTCTAGGTACTCTCAAAAATGTTGGTTTTGTTAATGCTGGTCATCTACTTGTTCATTAACAAGCATTGATTGCTTTGTATATAATGCCTACTGCTTGTAGCTAATGTGCTTCTCACAGCTGCTAGTGAGAGCAACTCTGAGAATCCCTGACTGTTCCTAGTCCAACATAGCTTGTGTTTCAAGGCTAACAACCTGAGGGAAGCTCATGTCAACCTTGATCACTTAATTCAGATTCACACATTAATGTTTGTCCCTTGGACTTCTAGGACACTGTATCTGTGCACAGACCCAGCTTCTATGCTGAAAGGTTCCAACGATTCATGTGCAACACAGCGTTCAAGAAAATACCGTGTAAGTACCTCCATGCAGCTGTACCCTTGGCAATTGCTATGGTTTCTGGCTTCTCCCTGCTCAGCAGTTGTGGTTTGGGAAGGTGGACGAAAGCGTTTAGGAAGTCTGTTGTGCTGTGTCACCCCTTCCTTCCTCCTAGATTGTTCTTGCCTCACAGATGTGACTTTATAGGAACTGTTTCATCCATCAGCTTGTTCCTTCAGGGCACAGCCCTCGCGCCAGACTCTTACTGGAAAGTTGCTGCATTGGGTTTTTTACTCCTTCCTGAACATGTTAGAAAAGCGCTTTCTTGGTTTTTGTCTTTAAGTAAAGCCATCGCCTTCTAAGAAGAGCCGGTCTGGCACAACAGTTCCTCGGCGGAGCTGTCAAGGAGGAGTGCCTTCCCAGTCACACATGTCATGCGAGACAAAAGCACAAGTAACGACAGAGGTGGATGTAGAGCAAGGTTGGTGCCTGGACTAAAAAAAAAAACCCAACCAAACAAAAAAAACCTAGAGAAGTTCAGCTTGTATTTGTCTGATTGAAGCTTGCTGCCTCCTGAGTGGTGCAAGACACCTCCATGTTGTTTTGTGGTCTTGCCAGGGGAGGTCCCGTTTTCTGGGGTTGTGGGTGCGAGAAACCAGATGGGGCCAAAAACTCATACACACTGAATGGCCTTTGAGAGCACCATGAGAAAGCCTGGAGGAGCAGTAAGCCCTTGAAATGCTCGGCTCTTTCCAAGTATTCTGTTGCAACAAATGCAGGGCAGGATGATAAACCTCATGTTTCAGGAAAGGTCGGTCTTTACTCACAAGCAGGATTAGACTGGGTTGTGGAGGTGGGGAATTGTTAGCTCATGCATCTCTGTGGGATTTTTCAGCCTTGTCCAAGCATCTGGTGTGGCCCACGCTCCCCCTGGGATGTGGTTGCGTGGCAGTCCCGTGTGCCTGGTCTCTTCCTAACAGCTCATGCCCCTGGAGTTTGTATTAGGGGAGAAGCTGGGCTAGGCAGTCATGTGGAGGCTTGGACTTGGAACAGAGAGCTGCATGCAGGGCTGGTTCTTCAGGGCTCGAGCGTCTTAGATGTCTTGGGTGGGATCCAGCACAGATCCTGATCCCTGGCTAATGTGGGAGCTTGTGCCACACGATCCCACTTGTTGGGGATCAGATGGAACAGTCTGTGCTTCAACTCAGGTTCCCACCTTGGTCGCCCAGATCTCCTGCCCAGGACCCTGCCGGTAGACGAAGCTAACAGTGATTCCATTGCAACAACCCTGTCCACTTCTTCTTTGGGCAGTGGAGGCCTCAACTCACCTGCAAATAGGTAAGACCATTGCTGGTTTGGTGCATGGCAGGCCGGCGACTCCTGCAAGTCAGGTTCATGAGCCATAGGAGGACTTTGTGCTGCTTTATGGATGTTTTGGGTTTTGGCATGCTTGCAGGAGTACCTGTTTGAGTGGTTCGTGTGTTGTGGAGCAAGCTCACTGCTGTCAGTTCAAGCATGTGCGAGGGGGGAGGGTTGTCTCGCTGTTCCTGCGTGCAGTCCCTTACAGATGACATGATCTTGCGTCTTCTGCTTGGGCTGTTTGGGGGTCCCAGTGGCTTTTAGTTCCTTGTGAGTTCTGTATTTAATGGCTTTGTTCTGGAGTTGAGGTAATTGTGCTAATTAAAGTGAGTTGGTGAAAGTGCGACTGCCAAAGTGTATGTGAAGAGCATTAATGTGATGATGGGTGATGCTGAAGATGACCTTCTGGCTGCTCTTCTCAGAGGGTTGGGCTCTCTTGCAACTTACTGATTGTGTTAGCATTGAGCTCCTACAACTCCTCAGGAAAGGAGGCTGCAGGGTGTGTGCAGGTGTGGTTCAAAACGTCTCAGAAGCTGAAATGCATGGAGAGCCCTGAGGGAGCTGGTGTCTGCCTTTGAATGTTTTATTTCTTGCTGAAGTGGTAAGACTAGCAGGGATGAGGAGGAGCTGTGGTCAGAGGACAATCCCTTTTGTAGAAGTTGTTCTGAGGTACTAACTTCTCTTCTTGGAAGCGATCGGAAACCATCTTCCCCATTCCTGAGCCACTGCCTACACAGTGGCACTGATAGAAGTGCCTGCTCTCTTCTGAGCTGCAGGAGAACAAGGTGCACCTGTGATTACCACCTCTTATTCCCTCTGTAAAACATGGAAACTTCTTGGTAGGGATCCTAAACCAGAGCTGCTCCTTTCCAGTATGTCAGCATGCCTGAGGTGTTCTTTTTACTTACTTAACCGCGGGTGTCTCTCCTTCAATCTCTACGTAGGTCAGTGGGCGTACAAGTGCATAAAGCTGACAGCTCAGCAAAGGATTTGACTAGAGCAGCTCCTGGCATCTTCCTGTCTAGGTGAGGGGAGGAACAAGACTGCCTGAAACGTTCTCCTGTCTAGAGGCTGTGCTCAGTGAGGCTTACCCTGGGATTTGACCTCACACTTGTCACTGGCTGGTGGTTACAGAGGTGGTGTACAGTCAGGTCACTCCTACATTGCAGTGCTGTAACACAGTATGTCCCTGGGCCAAGGCTCAGCAGTCCTTAACATGGCTGTCTGCTGTAAGGCTCAATGGTAAAACCTCTCAGGATGGTGTTCTCCTTACCCCACGTGGTGCTGAGCAGCGTTCTTGGTAAAAGCACAGATTCTGGTAGGTAAGATCAAACCTGCTGTGCAACTGGGTTGAGTCCCAAGAGGTTCCCTAGATGCAAAGCCTGATCTGTGTTTGCCCCAGGCACCTCTAGAGCAGAGCACACTGCTTACTGTACCCTGTGGGCACTTAAGCAAGTGGTTACCCTTTGTCAATAGTCTGTAAAACCACGTGCCAGCGCCAGACAGTGGTAAGGAGATCCAGGAAGGAGAACAAACCAGTGTTTTCTCCTATGTGGGGCCGTGAGATCTGGGCTTCCTGCATCAGACCTGTTGTCAGAGGCTTAAATCCACTTTTGTGACCTTGGGAGATCTGTAAAGCTCTGCAAACCCTGAAAAGGATGAAAGTGATTTGTGGATTGTTGATTTATAATGACATAACTTGTTGAATGGATTTAAAAAGGTGGTTTGTGTTTTAGTTTTTTTTTCTCTCTACGGAATCAGCCAGTCTAGCAGGGTGTTTACCACCCTTTGGAGAGGTAACCTCTTAAATCTCTGTAGTCCTGTACAAAGGGGAGTGATCTCACCCCAAATCTCTCCAGCTAGAGCTGCCCATCTAGTGTCGGCACAGGAGGAAGGCAGGATCTGGCCCGCTCCAGATCTGTCTTAAGAACACAAGCTCAGCCCTCTTGTCTGTGCTACCACAACCTCGGTCTCTCTTTTGCAGCACAGCCTCATGCCTGTCTCAGAAATGTTGCCACATGCCTCTGTTTGCGGTGTGCAACCTGTGTGTCGAAGATGTGCTCTCCATGGTGGCGTAAGCAATGCTGTGCAGGCGTGGGTGCCCTCCTGAGGCTGGGATTCCCCTGGTCCTCAGCCCAGCTCTGTCGTTAACATCTGGCAGAAGCTTGCTGGTGTTGGGGACACCAAAACGTTGGCATGGGCTACTGGGAATGGAAGCTGCTGACGGGCATCCTGCAGCAAGGGGTACCGGAGGGTGATCCCCTCCATTTGAGAGGGACACTTCTTTTTCTCTTAAGCACTGTAATTTAGTGGTGGACCTGGTAGTGTTAGGTTAATGGTTGGACTCGATCTTAAGTGTCTTTTCCAACCTAAATGATTCTATGATTCATCCTGCAGCCCTGCATTAGGGCAGTGCTGCTTGGTGCTAATTAAGACAAACCTCAAGGGCTATATGCTCTGTAAACAACACTGAGCATCCTCGCCTTTAATTTCTGCATAGGTCAGAAGCAGCGAGTCACCAGTTAGAGAGCTCGGTGGAGGAGGAAGCCAGAGCAGCTCAGAGTATCCAGGTCCATAGGTGAGGCATGATCAGGCAGAGAGGGAGCTGTGCCTTCCTGGTGAGGATTCCATTTTCGGTGTTGATCCAAGGGTGTTTGGTTGGGGTGATGTGTAGCCTGATGACTGACCAGCTTGATGCTTCATGTACTCTAGCAACAGGCAGTTGAATCCCTGCTAATTAAGGCAACCACTGCAGGCAGGCTGTGACAAGCCCTGGATGTTAGCTGCAGGAAGGCCGAGCAGGTCATGCTGTCTGTAGGCAATCCTGAAACCTCCTCTGTTAGTCGCCAGTGCACTGGAAAGCCCTGACCGCTTGGCCTAGGTGAAGTATGCACTCTCAGTCTTGACTTCTTGCTCAAGGGGCAAGGAGAGACGCTGTGGTCGCCATGTCCTCAGTAGGAAGCGGGGCAAGGTGCAAGCTGGGAATTGGAGTTCCTCAGCCAGCAGGTTGCAACCCATAGCTGTAGGATTGTGAAAGAAGTGGGGAGGTAACAGGTTATTAGACTAAAGCAAGTCTTGTTCTGTGCTCCACATTTCTTCCTTGGCGATGTATCCTATCAGACGCTTAGTGTGCCCGTGTTATATATCCTGCTGTCAGGCTATAGCTCACATTCAGAGCATAAAAGGTTTGTTAAAGTTTTGCCAGGGGCTTTTTCAAACAAGGGTGCCTGTGTCTGGAAAGGCTGAGATGTGGTAAGCTCCGGTACTTCATGGTTTCTTTGCACCTGGACTGTTTTCACCCAGGACCATTTCTGTGTTGATGAGGTGCTTGAAGACTTCTGTAAAGAGGTGCTGCTGCTTGGATGGACAAAAGATCCTCGTTTCTAATGTCTGAAGTCATGTCAGACTAGGAGGGATGATGTTCTAGGTGGTGGTTTGGGTGCCTGCCCCAGGAGGGATTGTGTTGCCTGTGCTTCCGTATTAAACCTGCTTAACAAATGCCTTTGTGCGGTGCTGGGATGTTCTGTTGGCTGGGTACAACAGGGCAGCCCTGGAGATGAGACTTATTGACAGCTCACTTTTAAAAACTGCTTTACAGGTCTTCCCCTTCTGTTTCCCCAGTGGCTCCCCAGGGCCTTCCGTACCTGAGCACTCCGCAGAGCTGAGAGAGCAGCTTGAAGACCTGCAAGAGACGGAGATAAGCTTTGTGAGTACTTCCCTGTTTAGGAGGAAAAGTGTGGCTCTGGAGGTAGACAGAGATTTGCGGGGATTATGTGGTCCCTAGTTGTGCTGGGAACATGGGCACTGAGTAGGATGTGTGAGTTGACCAGAGCAGGAGCAGATGTTCTTCATCCCCCTCTGGTATGCAAAAGCTCAGCCTGCCTTGTGCTAGGCACTGTTTGTGCTCTTAGTGATAATCTGTTACCCCAACTGCCCTAAATTAGATAAGCAGGAGGCAAAGCAGAGACATTCCCCTTTCTTGAGGGCCCAGAGTGGGTCTGATGGCAGAGATAACACGGGGTGAAGCTGACCAGGCTCATCTTGCTGTCCCCATGGCAGATGGTAAATGCTCACTGACCCTCTTGTTTTAATGTAAGGTGGTGTTTGAAGGTAAGCCTGAACTCAGCTGCCCCCTTGACTCTGCCTCTCCCAGGGTGGAGAAGATTTAGGAGAAGCCACCAGGCAGGACACACCTCCTGCTCCTCTTCCTCAGAGGAAGGCAGACCCCTCCCCAGCATCTCCCCCTCTTTTCTCTTCACAGTGAAGCAACACCAAAACCACCGTGATGGAAGCAGATTGTTCTGTGCTCTGCGTGGTCTGTGGAGTCTGACAAACATTCAGCCCCTGTTGCTGATTTATTATTTTATTTTGTTCAAAGTAATCTTATCTGGACAGAAACCTAAAAGCTGGAAGGCTGGGCTACACTTAGTGGGATAGTGTTAACAAAGATCGAGCCAGCACAGCTGAGCGTCGGACACCTGGAAGTCTCCTTAGAGCAGAGCCCACCACTGTGTCCCTGCTGTCCTCCTTTCTTTGAAGCCTGGCGAGAGCAAAGGCGGCTGTCAGGAGGAGGAGGAGGAACTGCTCCATGTGGGCTGAAGCCCTCTGGAAAAGGGATCTGACTTTCAGGGAGTTAGCTGCTTACGATGCTGACGCCACAGACCTTGCGAGAATGGGCAACTCGTCGGAGTTACTGGGGGGGAAACGGGCATTAGAGCCTCATTGGGACAGTTTGCGACAGAGCAACGTGGTTTTATTTTGTATTTTAAACAAGTTTTTAATTTAAATGTTTTTCTGAATTCAGTCATATCACTTCTTTTTAGTCTTGCAATATGGTAATTTTTTTTCTTAATAAGTAGGGTTTTTTTTTCCAGTGTTCCACCAGCAAGTATCCCATGTGAGAGAGGCAGAGAGGGGGAGCAGAAGCTGTATTGACTGTGGATGACCTCCTCTCCTCCTCCAGCCACTCCTGGCTGCCAGAGCCTCCTCCATTTTCAATCTTGCATCGCCCTGAGACAGCAACAAGGAGAGCTAGGTGCTGCGCTGTATTGCTTGGAGCATTTTGAATGTGTGAAGCTTTTAAGACGTCAGGGAGGTTTTGGATTGCTTTGTCCCTGGTTTTTAAACGACGCCCTTTTGTTCCTTCCCCGCCAAGCAGGGAGTCGCAGGTGAAGGGAGATCTTTGTAAGGGGCGTGCTTTTTTAAAAGTATTTCTTAAGCAAATGGACCAAACCCAGCCTGCTCCGTTCCCTTCCCCTGCCCTCTGTCCTGCTGCGGGCACCATGTGCAAAACTCTTCCTGTTTTTATAGCTCGGCTCCCTTTTGATATCTCGCCTGTATCGTAGCCGCTGTTGACACCAGTGTTCCCTGCGGCGTGAAACCAAGGTTCCTACCTAAATGGGACAGACTTCTGCCTCCACAAAAGTATGAGGCATTTTGAGTCCGGTTTTAAACAAAATAATAAGCTGAAAGGAGGGATTGTTCTGCTGCCATTTCCCTGCGGTGACGCCTGGCCCATGCTGGCTGCAGATGCTTCTCTAGAGATCTCAGAGCAGATGTCGGACTGATTGTTATTTTCACTAAATGCTTTTTTTAAAGAAATGAAGTGACTCTTCCCCGTGTTCCTGGTGGGTTAGAATCCTCCGTTCTTTTTTATATATATAAAAAAAAGTAATTTAAAGCTTGCCCTTGCGATAGTGCAAGGGGTTTCTATACTAATTAGCAATGATTGCTAAGGAAACAAAGAATGTAGTGGTGTAGAAAGGGATTTTTTTTTTTAGGTGATGTTTCAGAGCCAAGTCTCTTCCCACCTTCCACTTCAACCTTTCCAAGTGGATGCAACACAAGCTGATATTTTTTTAAGAAAAAGTGTTTTTTTTTAAACTGTTTTGGTTTTTTTTTTTCCCAAAAGACCAAGTAGAATGGCCTTACTCCGGGTATCCGGATCCCCAGGGGGTTGGTGGAGCGTGAGGACAGTCGCTGTTCACAAACTGTTTGGTTCTCAAGGGCTCTCAAACCTTTCGACACTGATTAATGTCACGATGAGACCCGTGAGCGGGAGGAAGATCGCCTCGGGGACACCTGCACCGTCTCTGCTGGATCTTCCTGTCTCCCTCCCCTGTACATCTGACTTGATCCAGCAGGTTACACTTTATAGCTGAAGTAACTGTCTATATTAGACACTTGTTTCTTATCTTCCCACCTAATCCATATTTGTTTTATTTTAGCAGGAGGGAAGAAAACCAAGTCTCAGTTTTTTTCATGTTTTAATATTTATGAAGTTGTATTTAAGTGTTTTTTTCTTTTCCTGGAGATAGTTATTCAGTGAGTAGGGAGGTGGGGTGGCGGGTGGGGTGGCATTTATATATTGACTTCTGCTTTGTAATGGGTTTTCAGAACTGCTTCTTTTTTTGTGTGTGCGTGTTTCAAAGTGACGGGCGATGGGTTTTCATGTCGTTTTTTAAACACCCGAGCGGTGTCTCTCCAGCGTGGGGAGGGGACTTCGCTTCTCTGGCCACACCGGGGAGGGATTGGGGAGCAGCCAACGCCGTCGTGACCTCTGGCTTGACGTCAGGCGATGGGATGGAGCACGGGTGGACGGACCTCTCCTGTCCTGCTCGGTGTCACCATCGTCACGGTCGCTGCCGGGCCCCCCCCTCTGGGAGTGTCACCTGGGAGGGACAGACCTGTCCCCGTTCCTGGGGAACAGCTCGTGCCGTGCGTGACCCCCCCACCTTGTCCTTTTGGCTGTGTAACGCTTGTGGCCTCGTCCGCTGTTGGAACCACGCTGCTGTCTCTTGGACGCGCAATACACGGTGTGCTGCTGAACCCACTGCCTGCCTGCCTCCTCTGTCCGGGGTGGGGGGAGAAATGGGGATGGGGGACGACACAGGACCCTCGGG